CCTTTTTTTAAAACATTTAGGTATTTCATGAAGTGTCCTTAGTTTTTTTATACAATGTTAACATAACGTCTAGACAGAGAGCGGGAGAGAAAGCGGGAAAGGGAGCGGGAGAGAGAAAGTGAGAGAGAGTGAGCGGGGGAGAAAGCGTGGAGTGAGCGGGAGAGAGAGAGAGCGGGCGAGAGAGAGCGAGAGAGAGAGCGTGGAGTGAGCGGGGATGTGAGCGTAGGAGAGAGAGCGGGAGAGAGAGCGGTAGAGTGAGCAGGAGAAAGAGCGGGAGTAAGAACAGGAGAGAGAGGGGGGAGAGAGAGGACAAAAGAATGCGGGGGAAAAAGGGGGAGAGAGAGAGGAGGAGAGAGTGCGGGAGAGAGAGCGGGAGAGAGAGCGAGAGAAAGGGCGGAAGAGAGAGCGGCGGAAAGAGCGAAAAGAGAGGGGGGGAGAGAGAAGGAAGAAGAGAGAGAGAGGAGTGAGAGAGAGAGGGGGGGAAAATAATATATATATATATATATATGATATTATATTATTATATATTTTATCTTATATTATTTAATATATTTTCATATTTGTCGTAACCAGATTACAAAACCCCCTCCCTTTTTTAAAACATTTAGGTATTTCATGAAGTTTCCTTAGTTTTTTTATACAATGTTAACATAACGTCTAGACAGAGAGCGGGAGAGAAAGTGGGAAAGAGAGCGGGAGAAAGAGTGGGAGAGAGAGAGCGGGGGGAAGGCGTGGAGCGAGCGGGAGAGAGAGCGGGAGTAAGAACAGGAGAGAGAGGGGGGAGAGAGAGGACGAAAGAATGCAGCGGAGAAAGGGGGTAGAGAGAGAGGAGGAGAGAGTGCGGGAGAGAGAGCGTGAGAGAGAGCGAGAAAGAGAGCGTGAGAAAGGGCGGAAGAAAGAGCGGAAGAGAGAGCGAAAAGAGAGGGGGGGAGAGAGAAGGAAGAAGAGAGAGAGAGGAGAGTGAGAGAGGGGAGGAAAATAAATATAATATCAGGTAATGATATTCTTTAGTGTTATTAAATATACTGTTGAATATTATTAAGAAAAATTATTAAAAATTATTAATATTATTTATTGTATTTAATTTTAAAAGAGAAAGAAAAGGAGAGAAAGAATGAGCAAAAGCTTTTTTGCTCATTCACTTTGCTTCGCGCAAGAAGTAATAAATTCATGGATATAATTATATATCTTGTTTTGCACTGAAAGCACCAGAAAAATCGGATGAATATAAAAAACTTTTGAACATATGTAAAGAGTTTCTCCTAGATCCAATATTGAATCTTTCATTATCAGTCTACTTAGAACTTCTCGCTTTACATGCGTGGTTATATTTATTAATAAATTTTAATAAGCAGTAAGAGTGGTGAGAACGAAAAAATTCTTTGAAGATTACCCAGAGTCACAATAACAGTCAAACAGATTTTAAGAGCGGCGGAAATAGGAAACAATAGAATGAATTACACCACACTCTTTATCGATATGTTTGCGAAATTAGGATGCAATTGCCGGTTTCGCTAATTCGCTGAGTGACTGTATGGTGGCGCCAACAGTAGCGCCGATAGTCTCTCTCTCTCTCTCTCTCTTTCTCTCACTCTCTGTAAACACTGCCAATAATATTTAACTCTCGCCGCGTAGTACCGATCTCGCAATTCGCAATCCTCGGCAGTCCTTTTGACATCGTCGCTTGTTGTCATAATCGTCTTTCTAGAGATCGTGTGTCCACCTCTACAATCCACATATATCTGCAGACGGTGAAGTTAATCGACGACCAAACTACCACTGGAAAAGATAATCGTTGCTACATTGGCGGGAAAGAACCACATCTTGATATCTGTTTGCTCCGCAAACGTCTATCGTCCCGGCGAAAGAAATAATTCGTACCGGTTCCAGCATCCCAAACTAGCTGTGACAGTTTATAAGGAGAGAGGTAAGTTGATACGATCTATCATCTTTCTATGAGGCTATTCTCTTATCTTGCCAATATCACAATCACTCGTTTTTTCAACCCCTTGATATGGCTGTCTTTGCCTTTCGCGGTGAATAGCAGCAAATTAATGCACGTAAAGATCGAATAAGCTATTAAATTCCGATGAAAAATATGATTATTTGGAAATATTATATATTTCTTTCTCGAAATAATTGCGATATATCCAGAGTAATATCGAAGCTAACATCATTCATTGTAATTGAAATAAATTCTTCGGATTCAATCCTGAAGATATTTACACGTTGATAGAATGTGTGTGTGATTATGGATATTTGTTTCTGTTTTCTGTTGCTACGACTTTCACGAGTTTTGTGTTTTTTTATGTGTGATATTCATGTATGTGCACTCTCACGACACACAAAATATATCGTGCAAATGTATTTAGCTGCCAAAATATGATATGTAGCCGTGCGAAATTTAAAAAATCAGAGTAAATCTTTAAAAATTGTTAAATTACTCGTGAAAGAATTAATTAATTAATTAACATTAATTACTGATTTTGTTAACGGTAATTCCACTGAAATTTCAGTTAGGAGAAGAACATCATTTTACGAGACCTAAAATTATATTTAAATCATACTTAAATCATTATTTATGCCAACTTTCGCAATTTATTGAAATGTCTGTTATATATATATATATATATAAATATCAGTACTTTCTTTTACAGACAATATTTAATATTCACTGTATATTAATATATTAACACATAAATTTTTTTCATATAAATGTAAACGAAGATATATGCTGAGGAAGTTATCTCTTATTGTTTCATATTTTTGCTTAACAAATGTTTATACAGGGTGAGTTTTTTAACTTGAAACTGTAAAATATTCCGGAAAGTAAGCTTTATCGAAAAAAATGTTTCAAACAAAAGTTGTAGGGTTCGGAGGGGGCCACATGATAAAAATATGGATTTGACCTTGAGTGACCTTTTCAAGGTGAGATCAATGTGATCGACGTTTTCTTAAATGGAACCCCCCTGTATATGAACTTAATTTAGTTTTACGATAATTTTAGATTTAAAATAGAATAGATTAATTACATTGAAAAAAAGCTTTTCTGAGAGTTCATTAAGTTCTTTTCACTAATGTTTTTTTTTTTTTTTATAGCAGTTTTCAGTCCTGATAAAACTATTCATTAGCAAACAATATTTATTTTTCAAATCTGTAATAAATGTAGATCTACTTTGATTTGTCATTATGTTATTACCATATTGTCATTAATGTCATTATATTATTTAATGATAACATAATGACAATATGGTGATAACATAATGACAAATAGTAGATGTACATTTATTATAGATTTGAAATATAAACTATTTTCGAATGAATATTTTTATCGCGACTGTGAAAAATATTATATAATATAAAACTAAACTCATATATAAACATTTGTTACGCAAAAATGCGAAACAATAAGAGATAATATCCTCGAACAACATATCTCTTCGTTTACATTTACAAGAAAAAAATTTACACGGTAAATATATTAATACACGATGAATATTAAATCTTGTCTATAAAAGATATTATATTATCAATGGTTTTTTAAGTGTAAAGGGAAACTTTTCTCTAGAATAATTCGAAATAAAGCATATGTATTTTCCTTATTATAAAACGGCGGTTTCTTCGAAAAGATTAAAATTAATAAGATGATACTATATAAAAGATAACAGAATAGGGAATGTAAAAAATATGTTATTGGTGAAAAAAAAAGTATAATGCAATATAGTACATAATGTTCTTGCGTATGGGAGCAAAAAATACATCGGTTATCCTTAACAGCCCTAACGTGCGTGATCTGCCTATCGAGAGATTTTCGTAGTTTATAATACAAAAGGTTGCGCTTTTCCCGCCCACGCATAATCAATCGTGGTTGAACAATTTCTCTTTGTTGTTAAGTATATCCCTCGAGAAAGAGACAAAGAGAAAAAAAAGAGAGGGAGAAAAAAGAGAGTAGGTGGTCTTTTGTATCATGAACGTAGTGCCGCGTGTATATTCTCAGCATACGGAATTACGTGATTCTCTATTTCTCTTAAATAGATGTAAAAATTTATAGAAGCTAAATTATAGATCGTGAGAACATGACTCAACAGAGGAACAATGACTCGTATGTAAATATATGTAAAGTAGACGAAAAAAAAAATCGCAGACTTATTGAAGCTTATGCGAAGCATATTGTTCGAAGACTCGAAAAAGTCATTTTTTGCAATAACTACACAGTTTCAATGACTTTATCTTGTTTCTTTTTATGCAATCTCGGTGTTGCATAAGTTCTCGATTCCAGTGTCGCATTATTCCATATATCTTTTCTTAATGATTTTAATAATACATTAACCATTAAAACATCCATGACTTTAATGTTGTCTGATCGTTAATAACCGAACGCACGATAATATGTACGTGAAATAAAAATGAATATGAGCGCGCGAATGCGGTTCTCAAAAAATAATTTGTTACATAAAGATATAATATTGAAAATATTATTTATAATTTGGTTATATATATTTTTATTCAACGAAATGGATATGATATTAAACAAAAAAAGTGTATCGTTATTATACATACTTTATCATTATCGTACGTTTTTTTACGCATAAGAAAAAACTATGAGACTGCTGATACATTATTGTACAGCGAGTTTGCACTTTGCATAAATCTAAAAAAAGAACTAAATGCCGTAAGACTGAAAAAATCTATCAGTATTATTAGCATTGTAAAGTAGCGCATGAAATAGGTATTTAGTTATTAATGCCACAAATCCATAAGAATAATTCATATTAAAAGAATATACAAATATTACATTAAGGTTTGACTTTCAGGTTTTTTTTTTTTTTTATTAAATTAAATTAAATTATTTTATCATTTTGTTATTACTAGAAAATATCATTTATTTATTATTTTCCATTTACATTTAAAATTTTGGAAATATTATTTTACGTTATAGAATGGTCCGATTCTTGCTATGTTTGAAGCTTATCTTTTATTGCGAAATGTTTCGCAAAAAAAACGTAGTTTCATTTACAAAATAATTCCATCATGTCATTTCTCTTCAATGCAAATAAGTGTTTCCTGTTGCACTGCTCTTTATTAAGAGCGCCCGTTGATCGGGTTGGGGAGCTAATTGCCTGAATAATCGCTAGATACATTTAATATCGCCGGTGTTATTTCAATATCATTTATTATAAAAATTAAAAAAAATAGGAAATAGTACAATGTATTTCAGTATGCAGAATTTAATAATGCGACTTAGCGATATAATAATTCAATCAGCGGAATTTCCTGTCGTTGTTTGAGAAATTAGTATTTAAATAATGTTGCCTTTATTCGGACTTCTGCGCGATATTCTTTGTCTATTTTTTTATTTTTTTACACATAATCTATTTTTTAAATGAATAGATGTAGCTAAAGTAAAGATTTTAAATTATTTGATTGCGTTCGCATTGGCGTGGTCCTTTTCACCTCATGTAGATGATTGACAATTAAAAATTAGTTTTATAAAATATATTTAGAGAGAGATTTATCACTTATATAAAATTTTTGTTTTGTTTTTACGTATTTTTTCACAGCATGCAGTATCAGAAATTCGCGTAGAAGAGACTATTGCTTTAAAATTATTATTTCGTATTGCTTAAATCATTATATATCGTAAACTTCGTAAACTTGTGTTGACATAATAGTCAGACATAAACTATATGTCGAGCATATTTCTTAACAAGTGTTAAGACTTCCGCGTTTAAAAAATTACAACATTACGTGAATACATGAACTGCTCGATCGATCTTACGCAAAAGTTCGGATTAAATAAGGATGTAATGTTGCCGGTGAAAGTGCACGTTTGCATTCCCGGAAGGGTTTCTTATGGCATCTAAAAAATATCAAGATGGACAGATGTGAAATAGTAGATATGTCTCATTTTGTGATTACTTAGATTATTACAATTAAAATTGTTATTTAATCGCATCAACAAATATTTGGTTAATTTATTGTTCAACATATTCTTCAATATAAAATTTTCTCGTCTTTTTTTCATTAAATTAAGTCCGCGCGCGCGAGTTGTTCTATGATCTTGTATAATTTATTGTGTGTGTGTGTGTGTGTGTGTGTGAAATAGAAGTATTACATAGTAAGAAATATCGAATTTATATCAATTTTTTATATTGTATCTTTATTGTTTCTATTCAGAATAGACAGTATCCGTTGTTCGATTGTCTCTTATTTGATTCATATGATATTCTCATTATTAAAAATTAAGCCAATTTAAATTAATATATATATAATTAAAGTTTTATATAACTTTATTTTAAATTTAACACTTTATGAATACGCACAAGTTATTTTTTAAACATGAAACAATTACTAAGATACTATCGATTCTTAATGTTTAGCATTGCGGATAGTTGAAATACAAATTTATATATTATTATTTTCGCAGGTAAAATATTCAACTAAAAAAAAGTTGCAAATTTATAAAATTTATGCTTTTAGTATTGAAAAATTTCTCAGCAAATATCTATTCAATAAAGTTATGCGAAGAGATGTATTGATATGCCAACGTTATGTCATTTCTTCGTATCACTACGCAAGTGCGTGATCAGCCGGTGTGCCAGCCAGATTGAATGCCTTACGTGATATAATGCGCACACATGAGGAAGTGAGATGAAACAAGACGTGCCGTTGTACATATATACATGATTATTTCAATATATATATGTATATATATGATCTGCGCTATTGTATGATTGACCGCCGGCTTAGATATTTTTGTGAATATATAAAAAAACGTATACAAATTGGTTCACACACATTATACAACACGACGGAAAATATTCATTTACAAACATTCATTTATATTCTACCTGCCATATAAAGACATTTACATATACAAAATACTTTTTTACTTGAAAAAAAATATCTTATCGTATCGACGTTGTC